TGTAAAAAAATTAAAAAAAAAAAAAAAGAAAGAGCACTGGCTGTTCTTCCAGAGGACTCACATTCAGTTCCTAGCACTGTCCAGGAACTGTCTATGTCAGTCCCATAACTGTCTATAACTCCAGTTCTAGGATAACTGATGGCCCCTTTTGACCTCTGTGGGCACCAGGCATTCACATGGTACACAGGCATGCATGCAAACAAAACATCTATATTCATAAAAGTAGAAATTAAAAATATTAAAGAAATGAAATATGTTTCAATGACAATATTAGTAAATGTCACCCTGGTGTGCTCCATGTCTCTGAAAATGACTGTGAGCTTCAAAGTTACATGAGCAGGTTGTTTTTAGAAGCACCAATGCAAGATGCTCTGGATTATCACTATAATTAATATAATATAGGGCTTGATGGGGTAGCTGACAAATAAAAATACCACTTGGAAGGTGTGTTCTTGGAATTTTCATTTTCAAAATGAAAAATAAAATCAGTGAACTGAAGCAGATATGACTGGTTATAATGGCTATACTTGTTGAGGTTATTGACTAGCAAGATGGTCTACCAGAGTTTCTTACAGAACCTTGAAAAAACTGAGTGAAAGAGTTACTATAATTCTTCTGAGAAGTAGTTTGTACTGAAATAGTTAAAGTGAAATGTAAAGATTTTGCAACTACATATTACCTGATTAGCTTCTACATAACATATTTAGGTTTATATAAAATTATACTAGAAGAAATTAACTGGAAACAATACAAAAAATAAGCAAGGTACAGGAATAGTCTATACCAGAGTAGTAGCTGTAAAGATAGAGGTTTGAAGACATTTTATTTCAAGACAATTTCCTGTGGTCCAGGTTAGCTTTAAACTCATGTGTGTCACCATGTCTAGTTTATCTGTTGTTAAGGATCCAACCCAGGGCCTTGTACGTGGTAGGTAATCACTCTACTAGCTGAGTTACATTCCCCAGTTTTCTTTTATCTTTGAGATGGAGTCTTCTTATGTAGTTCAGGCTGACCTTAGACTTATATTTCTTATGCTCTACCCTCTCAAATGCTGGGCTTATGGATGCCACCACACATGGCTGGGAATTCTTGATGCTAATAAAAGAACGAATAAAGGATGAATCCTAAGTTTTTGTTTAAGCAGTTGGGTCATAGTACCAATTACTAGGATTTGCATGGCAGAAGGAAATACATTTGATAGGCAAAATGAAAAGCTTTTTGTGCCTGTGGGGAGACATATTCAATCTGAAATGTATATTAGCTATCCAAATGGAGAAGACAACTGAATGTTAGTTTTCAAATGCTGGAAATTTTGTGGCATGTTAGTGTGCGTAGATGACTTAACTTTTTTCTTTTATTTTTAGCCTTAGTTATCAATTCCGGGGAATAGGAAAATTCTTACTCAGCTTCCTATTATGCTGATTATGACTCTGAACGAAATTCCTTCAGATGACTTTTTGGCAAGCTGGTGAGATAGCTCTTTGGGTAAAGGTATCTACCACCAAGCTTGATGACTTGAGTTCCATTCCTGAGACCCACATAGTGGAAGGAGAGAATTGACTCTTTGGAGCTGTCTTCTGGCCTCCACACTTCCACACGCATTCTATTGTGCATGTACATGTGTGTGCAGGAACACACACACACACACACACACACACACACACACACAGACTTTAAAAATGTAATAAAATGACTGTATAAATTTGACCACATGGAGGTCATTGGTAAACTTACCTAGGTTATTGACCCTTATAGGTTGTATAGGTAAAAAATCACATTGGATGTGTTGTTGGCTACATGGGAGATGAAAATACAGCAATAGTGGATTGTAGTGGTAACTGGAGGGAGAGATAGGGTGTAGGTATGCTATTGTTTGCTTGCTGGATTTCTTTATTTTCAACTTTGGTACTGATGATTGAACCCAGGATACATACTAAGCATGTACTCTCTCACTGAGTTGTGCCCTCAGGTCCTGTTTGGTAGTTTCTTTAGGCAAATGTGTTGCTTATGTTCTGACCACAGAGAACTGGTGATAACACCACAGATGAAGTGAATATATCAAGCAGATTAATTGAGGAAGTGGGGCAATAAGGAGTGGGGTCCAGGGAGGTGAGTTTAACTTCATTAGGAACATTGGGATAAAAGGGAGTTGGGTGGGAGTGTGGGGTTTATGGCTTATGGTTCTAAGGATTTAATGATGGGAAGTTGTGGGGCATCTTCTTGAATGGCTTTTGTTTTCCCCAAACAAGGCAGGAGAGTGGATCACAGTAAATACTATAATGGGTGAGAAACATCTTCCTGCTATACTACATCTTTGAAACAAGAAAAAGTATGTTAGATTTATTTTTATAATTATTGTGTATGAGGAGCACATGTAGAGGCCAGAGACAATCTTTGGGAGTCAGTTTTCTCCCTTCACCATTTGTCCTTCCATCAAGGGTCCCTGGGATTGAACAAACATGGCCAGGCTTGCACAGCAAATGCTTTTATCCACTGAGATATCTTGCTGGTCCAAAATAATGAACTTTTAAAAAGCTTTAACCAAATTGCCAACATTTGGAGGTTTCCCATACAGAATAAATAGACTCATGATTTATGCAAGAGCTATTTTCATTTTTTAAGGGGTTGAATGACACAAACATTATTCCATTCTGAGCACAGAGTGGGATTGTGTGTTGGAAGCTTATTTTCCAAGAGGGACTTCTGATTGGGACACAGTTATCTTCTTTTTGGAACATCCTCTCTTGCCTCTAATCTTCTAGCTGACTCATAATCTCCACAATAAGGGCTTCTCGGAATATTCAATCCAGTGACTTTTTTGTGGGGGAGACCAGCCCCAATTGTCAAAATCAAAACCACACTCTTGATTGCCTCAGGAGGATTGCTGCTAACTGCCTGATTTATCTTCTCTCTTATTCTCTCTTCTGCTTCTAAGCTTTGTAAGTGGAACGTGAGCCAAAATTTTCAAGTTTCAAAAGTATAAAGAAAGGAAACAAGCAAATAGGGAAGGAACATAAATACTGAACAAGACTGGGTGAGGTGACAGACAGGAATTACTGCGGCCGTCTGGAAGGGGGCCAGGGTGCAAAAAACACAGGATTGTGTAGTTTACAGTAACTATCTCGTGTTCAGCATGCTAGCGATCGCACAGAGAAAGCCAGATCGCTTTGGGTTTGTCTGCTGTCTGATACTTAGCTGTGGAAATTTGACTTTAGGTGATCTGTGCTTTCTGTCGGCAAATGGATATAAATATAGAAGCACTCACTCCTCGTGATTTGAATTTGCTATAGAGGACCCCTTGTGGCGACAGTGCTGAATGCTTCATCAGAAGCCTAACTTCAACGCTGGGTCTTTTGGATAAGGAAATAACAAATTAAGCAAGTCAACAAAAAAAACCCAAACACCCCACAAAACTCTTTAAAATTATACTTGAGATACTATGAGTATTTAGTTTTTTTTTTTTTATAGCATCAAACACAGCAATGAGGTTCTGTGTACATTATACCTTTGAGGAATTCAGTATAATTTTAAACACTCCAGATTTTATCAATTTAAATCATATAACTACAGAGAAGTAAAGAATAGGGGTCTTCATGTCTATTGTGCAGAAGGATGGGTGGGGGGGCCTAGTGAGCAGGTAGGGAAGGTGCAGTGGTTTTCCTGCTAGGCAGGCCAAGTTTACAATAGAACCTGGATACCTTCCTTATCTTGGGCTCAGTTTAGTAGTCATGGTTTAGAAAACATTCATTATTAAAGCTCTAAAACAAAACCTGCTATTTTGCAAGTGTCAAGTGATCTCTTTATTCCAGAAAAGATGGATTGTGAGATGTAAAACTCACTCTTTGTTTCTCTGTGAAAAGAAACCATTCTGAGCTCCTCCCCAGGAAAAAGAAGGCTTTAAAACAAATCTGGAAGGGCATTATGTTAGTAACTGAGACTCTTTAGATAAATGTCCATTATGTACATTTTACAGGAAGCTACAGCAAAAATACTCTTATTTTGCATGCTTTCTTGAAAGTCATATAAAACGAACCCCTTTTCATAGTTGCTTCTCTTTGACAATCCCCAGATCCTGTCTTTCTTCTTGGCTACCTGATATTTGTCCCAAGAGTGTCTGTAGAGCTAATAAATAAATCCTTTCTTTTATTTTAAATCCAGTCCCTTAAGAACTGGACTGCCAAAGCTCCAACAAGTTGTTCATGCTGTAGTTAGCACCATGTTATAGTAACTTTGTGTGTTATTACAAGAAAAAAAATGAATAGCTAAAGAAATATGTCATAAAATCAAGGAATTGATGACATAATAAAGAGTTAGGCAGCGAGGTGCAGTATTGTTGAGGTGAAGCTTAAGATATGGTTCTGGTGAATAAAACTCTTATGTTCATGGAAGAATTCATGGTATATATGGAAGGAAATGCAGAAAAAAATCTCCATAAGTAGGAAAAATGAAAATTCAAGGATAAACCTGTTTTCTGGTGCCTTAAATAGAATAATGGTTCTACTAAAGGGGTTTTGATATTCCTTCTGTCTAGTGTCTTATTGCTATATGGTGGGTGGTATAAAGGTGTGTGAGATGGTAAGATTTCAGTGGAAAAAATACTATCTCAGATGTGACCCATGGCTCCGGAGATCCTGAATTTTAAGTAATAATGGTATGAGAATTTCCTGGGTTTTTTTTTTTTTTTTTTAATCCCCTGCTTTACAATTTCTCACTTTCAATACTTCTAACCTTCAGTTTTAATTTGAAGCAGTTCCTTGTTTTGGTCAGGGATGATAGAAAGTTAAATTTAACTTATTTAGAGCTTCCTAAGAAGCATGTAGGTCTCTAGGGAAAGTATGTGTCTGGCCTTTTTCAACAAAGTATTTTCAGTAACAAGTTGTCAGTGAGGTCACTGACTAGCCCAGGATTAGATACCACCCACCCTGGCTTGTAACCTCCCCTTCCTTTCTTATCCTGGGTGAGTAGCGGCTCAGCTAAAGTGACTGCCCCCACCATCACTGTCTCTCAGTTTGGTCCTCTGTAGCTCTGTGACTATCAAGAGGCTTTTTCCTACCCTCAGAGCCCTGTTTGGAAAACTCCCTTCAAGAGCTGAACTCCAAGTACAGCGACTTCATAGGAGGCAGCAGAAAGGTAAGAGTCAAGTTTAGGAAGTGAAGAGCTGGGCTTCAGTGCGCTCTTGTTTCTCCCCTGGATTCCTGTGTCTCCTTTATACGCCATGGGTTTATAACGTGGGGTTTCTCCTGAATGGAGGAAGGTCACAGTATTATAGGAAATGGGGATGTTTTGACTAGCTGCAATGAGAAATGTAGGCTTTCATGCTAATTTCAAAGTTAAAAATAACTTTCAGAGTATGCCAGGGAAAGCTAGTAGCCAAGGTCGTGCTTAGCATTCAGAGAGTTTCTGGCTATAAAAAGCCAATTGGATGCTCTGCAGGGAAAGATAAGATATGGCCTGGATGCTTGTGCTTTGGCATGGGGCTGGGGAAAAGGAAGCAAAGTTGAAAGTGTTTGAAGGGGCTTTGCTTTCAACCAAAAATTTATTCATAGGTGTTTTGAATGAAATAGTGGCAAAGAGCATCAGTTTCTGCATTGGTCATATATTGCTTATGTATTTGGCAGTAATATTGAGAGGTTGAGAAATGATCTCAGAACTCTTTGGCATTTTTAACCATGACAACCACAGTGTAGAGTGATTTATTTTACTTATGATGTAGTGTCTATACAGAGGGAAGGTTGCTGGTTGAATGGGTTTGAGTAAATGCAAGTATCTGCTGTCACCTAAATCGAGAACAGGGTTGGAAGAAATGAGTTCAAAAGGAAAGAGGGAATGCAGGACAGACACCAGGAGCTTCATTGGCTGCAGAGGTTTTGAATCACAGATCTATGCCACTACGAAAGACTTGCAACATGTCTGATGATACTTGGGATCAATTGCTTGTTTAAGACACACAAACAGGAAAAGCAAGAATTTAAATGAACCTTGTGGCTAGCTCATTCAGCTAGAATGGAGGAGCAACATAGAGAGAATACTTAGGATTTGAAGCTGTGGGTTATCAATAGCCAAATGGAATGTTTGGCTATGCTTTTAATATTTCAGTGTTCATTATGAAAAAATTATCTCAACAGTGATGAAGGAGGGAACCTAAAATACAGACAGTCAGATATACTCATTTATATTTGTTATACCCTACACATAGTTTGGATGTTTCTTGCTATTTGAATAAAAGATTGGTTTTGGTTTTTAGAATAACATTTTTATTATAAAGCAATTTGCTCATTGTGTGATTTTGAAAGAACAGAGGAAAATTATTGTTTGTGATCTCACTGATATGTGTTTCCTTCTAGTCTTTTCCCCTTGGCTTTATAATATGCTATAATATGCTATAATATAGAGCATCATATTTTTAACCTTGCTTTTTCACTTTACCTGAAGCTTTCATGTTTACATATAATATTCCTTGTTGTGTTGTATCACAACTTTTCAGTGAATATAATTTTGCTAACCATCACTGAACATTCAGGTGCTATAAAAAGACTTTTGCATATTTTATGTGTATTTATATCATGCATTTATATTTAAGATTATTTCCTTACTCCCCATTCCTAAGTGTGGAGTTGTTGGAATGCAGGATGTTACACTTGAAGGCAAAGCTTGTGATTTTTTAATGTGGTTTTTACTGTTTCTCTTTTAAAGCATTATAAAATTTGTCAGCCAAATAAAATATTTATTAAACACAATATCAGGTAGATGGATAACAACATACTAAGTATGTGTAAGGATGCAATCTCTTCTACTTAAAGAATTTCAATTTATAAACCTCAACAAAGCTATACATTGAGTTGAAAGAACTTCAGCTCTTTCTGAAATCAATTATTATTTTGTTGATGATTTGTATCATGTTGACTGTAGAACAGTAGCATTTGTAAATCCTGCTGGAAAACCATGGATGCACAACACTAATTTACAGAAATTTATGATTCAGATGCAGAAATAAATAGCAAAACCAGGAAAAGTCAGTAAATACCTCAGTTATAGGACAACTGGGGAAATCACAATTATTTAGAGTAAATCTATAGGCTGCCAAATTGAAAAAATAAGGAATAAAGGCACGGAATAAGGCATCAATTGAGTGGGAGCTTGCAGATTGAAGGGAAAAGCTAAGACATGATAATAAAAGTGTCAGAGATGGTGGCTTGTGCAGAGAATTCAGGGATGGGGCAGAGATCCTAGTAGTATTTGATGGGAGATGAGGTGTACAGTCATGAATTCTTAAAGGACATATGTTGACTCTTTACAAAAAGCTTTCAACCATGGTCCCTTATATTTGGTGGTACACAGAGGGGCTTCTTAACCAAGGGCAGGCAGGAGTTCTTTAGCCTCTGTGAACTTTGGTTTGCATGTTTCCCTTTTTGAGTTGGAATGGAAAGGATTCATCTTTAAGGAGAGAAGTTCACAGCCCAGTCTTGCCTGAAGAGATACTATATATCTCATAGTGAAGACTTAAAAACAGTATTTATTTGTGGATCATCAACTCGTGCAAATGTTAGTCCAGAGCTTCCATACCATGTTTTTTCTTCTCATTCTTGTTTGTATATTGGATTTTAAGTGACACTGTACTGAGTTAAGTGACAGACAATTGGGACTACAGAACTTTTGAAAGTAAGGACTGTTACCCACTGCTCCTGTTTTCACATGCATAGCTATGCTTCATAATCATAGTGCTGCTGCCTGGAACTCAGCCAGAAATCTATAACCAATATATATTATCTAATTTTCAGGACTAGAAAGTGACTTAAAATTCCTGTGTGCAAAATTGTTGCCTTGGTACCTCTTTTCCTTTCCATTCCTTGCCTTTCATTTCTTTTCTTTTTTATAAAGTTATTATTATTGGTGTGTAGGTGTCATTTTTTGTGTGTGTGCATATGGCAGGCAGATGGTAACTACTGGGAGTTAGTTCTCTCCTTTCATGATTACATGGATCCTGGGACTGTACCTCAGCTTGTTTGATGTCAGGTACCTTTATTCACTGAACCATCTCACTGTCTTGCCTTTAATTTTCTTAACCATTATGCCTGGGTACTTCTGGTCTCTCCTGTCAGTGGGAAAATTGATTTGATATAGATAGAGCAATGGTTAATGTAAAGAAAGAGTAGGTGTTTCAGCCCTCCTTTAATATAATGCTATCCAAAGTATGATCTGCAGTTCTCACTTTGTTACTGGTCCCAGCAAGGACATAAAGAGCTTGTGCCAAAGTATAAATCAGCCATACTAGAAGCATTTTGTATAAGGGGTCTGCAGATGAATAAAGCTGTTATTGATTTATAGTTTCATGGGAACTTCTTGCATAATTCATCTGGAATAGCATTGCTTAAGTAGTTAAACCAAGCACTGATCTCCCCTACCGATATATGTAAAGGCAGAGAATTGGGATTAAGGCATCCAGTTATTACATAATAGATGAATGCCAATGCAAAGAGTCCCTTTTGCACCTCACTGAGAAACCTACAGAATGACTCAGAGGTAGGATTGCTAAAGGGATAGAGGGACTCTTCTAAGAATATCCATTCCGAGACCCCCCACCCCAGCCAGGTAAGCCTTAGTTTTAGGGTTGAAAGTTACAAATTGTCTCCATTGAAACTTATAGGATTAACAGTTTTTTTTTTTTTTAAAAAGATTGATTTATTTCATGTGTATGAATGTTTGCCTGTATGCCCGTGTGTACACCATATGCATGTAATGCCCATGGAGGCCAGAAGAGGGCATCAAATCTGGAGCTGAAGTTAGCTGTAAAGTTACTATGTGGGTACTGGGAACTGAACTCAGGCCATCTCTCCAGGCCCTCAAAATGCTATTCTTATCATAAGGGAAGTTTATATTGGAGCTCACATCTCAACTTTTTAATCTTTTTTCTATTAATATTGATGTTTGTTTCCCCCCCATTCATTATTCTTGTTACTATTTTTGGAGAGTGTATCTCACTATGTAGCTGGCAGCAATTCTCTTGCTTCAGATTTTTGAAAGTTAGTATTACAAAAGTTTTCGACCATGTGCCTGGCTCCATCATTATTTTTTAAAACAATTTCATTTTATAGCATTTTACTTTGGTTTTTCAAGACAGGGTTTCTCTGTGTAGTTCTGGTTGTCCTGGAACTCACTCTGTAGATCAGGCTGGCTTTGAACTCACAGAGATCCATCTGCCTCTGTCTCTCAGGAGCTGGAACTAAAGGCGTGCATCATTATCAACTGGCTTTTATACTATGCTTTTTTTTTTTTTTTTTTTTTTTTTTTTTAAAGAGTGTTGTGTGTGTTTCCATGAAACCAGAAGTTGTCAGAGCCCCTGGAGCTGGAGTTACTAATGGTCCTGAGCTGCACAATGAGGATGTTGGGAACTAGACTCTGGTCCTCTGGAAGAGTAGTGAGATCTATCTTTCTTTTGCTCAAGGTCTGATTATTTACGTGTTACTCTTTAGAGACTTATTTGACTTAGAAGTAGAAGCTTTCAGTGAGGACATCCTATGTCTCTTGGCAATCTGTTCTGGCATTTTACTTTGGCATCCTTCATACTCTTGGCCAAAAGTTTAGCACATTCTGCAGCCCCCTCCTTGTTTTTCTTAGTGCATTGTTTCTTCAGAGCAATAAGTCAGTTGGTGTTTGTGTTGTAGGACAGGTGAAGTAACAAGATGCTGAATCTTGGGTGCTTTCGTCCAGGGCTTCTTACCTTCTTTAAGGACTTTCTGACAACATATTGGTGGACATCATCTTCTTCAGAGAGATCAAAACGCTGTCTGATTCTGCTAGCTCTTTTAGGTCCCAGCTGATGAGGCACGGTAGTATCTGTCCGTCCAGGAATGTTTACCCACCCAATAATCGAGCTGAGAACACTCAGGCATCCACAATGCACACACAAACAGACTGCCCCTCCTCTCTCTAGTTTTCCTTGGTCTAGAACAAGAATGTCCCTTATGCAACAGCAAGAACACTCTGCCATGGGTCAAAATGCCTTGCTTCATGGGAAAATATTGTTTGTCATCTCCACCACTGATTTGGACTACATAACCATCCTGATCTTTACTTGGCACATCAACAGCTACTTCTGTGGCCTACTTCTCATAGAGTGTATATGTTCATTG